AGCCTGACTTGGACAAGCGCTTTAGATTGAAGCACATGGTGTGCTGACTGCCGTGTGCGGGACATCGTCTCCATCTGGCAGTATCGAATGCCCTCAAACTCTTCCTCAATATGAACAATCGAGGCAAAGCCTCCAACTACCAGGAGGAGGATGACGGTGGTGATGTTGGTGATGTTGGTGTTAGTGGTATTAGTGGTGGTAGTGGTGGTAGTGGTGGCAATGGTAGTAATGGTAACAACGATGGTAATGGTGGTGATGATGTCGAAGTACTCGCTAACGCTATATATAGCGATCAAGATGACGACAGTGAGGATGATGACGAGTGGGGACCAGAAGACGATGCCGCGTGGCTAAGTGGGCTCGAGGACACCAAACCAGTCCGCAACCAGACCGTCGTCCATAACGTCATCACAAAATGCCGGGAGATGCTAAAGATGTTGAAGTTCTCCGGGAAGGCAGCTCGCATCATGGAGGATGTCCGCAGCAACATCCCTGATGAAGAGAAAGCTAACCTAAACTACACAATAGATACGCCTACCCACTGGAACTCAACAGTGGTAATGTTAGAGATGGTGCTTAAGAACGAGGCCAGCTTCGACCAGTTCCAAGCCAAAGTCAAAGCTGACAAACTTCAAGGCCAAATATGGAAAACAGTATGCAACTACGGATTCGCCACGAAAGATTATGAAAACATGCGAGACATCGTCAAGGTTTTGCGACCCTTCTCGGAAGCGTGCAAGACTCTGGCAACTACACACTATCCCACACTCCCGAGGCTATACTCGGTGGTGGGATTCCTCAGGAGGTTCTTGGAAAACGATGGCAGCCAAGCAAGCTCGCACTCTACTTGCTTTTACAAGAACCTCTAGAGGCTCCTGGGACCTCAAGTGGATCGTTACTTCGAGTACACTAAGATCAACAAGTGGGTGCAAGCAGGCAATTACTTACTACCTGAGACGCGGAGCCTATCATATCCTGTGCTCGCCAAGGTCACCGACGAAGACGGAAGAGCGGCGGTCACCAAGTGTAAAACGGAAATGGGCTGGGAAGCCAATGATAAACCTGACGATATGCACAACAAGCCGATATCATCGGATGAGGAGGATGTTTTCGCAAGCTTTGCTACAAGAGCGAGACGACTACAGCCAATATGTCATTACGGACTGAGCAGGCTTGATGAAAGCGCTGGCGGATGCTCCGGTCTCCATCGCCATGTATGCCTCGGATCCCGATCTCCGCTTTTTATGAATCCGAGTGTGGCCAAGATGGATACTTCTATTTAAAGCGAGGAGTTTCTGGTTACGTGAGCTTCGACACTCATCATGGCATC